AGATATATATATATAAGATATATATATATAAGATATATAAGATATATATATATATATAAGATATATAAGATATATATATATATATATATATACAATACATATACCTGAATCATTTTGCTGTACACCTGAAACTAGCATTGTAAATCAGCTACATTTTAATTTTTTTAAAAAATGTTTTTTAAATCTGTTTCTTGAAAATTCTAATGAACTTGCCTATAAAATTATCCAAGTTTAGCTTGTTAAGGGAAAGTAATTTTCAGAAAACTTTAGAAATCACTTGCATTTTCGTTTTTCATTTTAATTCTGAGTCATTATAGAGTTTTACATTTTTTATAAAACCATTTACTTAATCCACGTATTCAATTCATTAGCATAGTATTATCTATAGTACTATAAACTTAATCTTTTCTAAAACTGTGGTTCTAGCCCCTCATTTCTAATGTTGTGTATTTGATTTCTACTAATCTTTTCTTGATTAGACTTTCCAGAGATTTGTTCATTCTGCTGACCTTATCAAAGAACAAGCTGTTGGATTTTTATAACAGCTGTTTCTTGAAGTTTTGTTATTAATTTCTGTTCTTATCTTAATTACTTCCTTCAGTGTTGTTTTTTGTTCTTGTTCTAAATTCTTAGATTGGATACTTAATTCATTTCTGTTTTGAGTACTGATTGGATTTAAACTTACGATTTTTCCTTCTCTGAGTATAGTGTCTCAAAGCACTGCTTTGCATGCATTCCCCATAAAGTGCTCTCACCATGATTTTTAATGTATTATATAATAGTTTTCTCTGTCACCCAATAATTTAAGTATGTTCTCATTTTTTGGTTTGTTTTTACTTTCCAAGTGATCTCACAAAATCAATAACCATGCAAAATCAGTAAGTGTGCTCAGCTTATCTGAAAATTTTTTGAATTCTTGAAAGGTAGAAAGGAGATCAATTATACAGAGAAACAAGGGTGCAGGATGAACTAGAGCTGAGTTAGCTGTGCTTCTGAAGAAGCTCCAGGAAGGGTCACAAAGATGACTAGTTGGAGGGGAAAGGGTATATAGCTCAGAAGTATAGTGCGTGCTTAGCATGCATGAGGTCCTGGGTTCAATCCCCAGTACCTCCTCTAAAAATAAATAAGTAAATAAATAAACCAAATCCCCCTCCTCCCAAAAAAGAACCTAAAATAAATTAAATTAAATCTTAAAAAAAAAAAACCACTGTGAAATTTCTTATGATGGGGAGGAGAGAGCAAAGAAGAGAAGAAATAAATGGAACAGAAAATTCAGAGTCAAGAAAATAACAGAAAACAAGAAAGAAAACACAGTTAAAAAGTAAATTATGTAGCAAGAATACGTGCAAGCACACTAGAAATCACAATAAATGAGAATGTATTAAGAGTCTACAATTGGATAAAAGAAAAATCAGCCACTTTTGTCACTAGAAATTTAAGCCAAGTGACACAGAGAGGTTAAAATTAAGGGACGGAAAAAGAAATTGGCACATAAATTCTAACAAAAAGGTTGACAGAAAAAAAATTAGAATCAGACAAAATAAAAAGGCAAAAAATCAAGCTGAAAAGTCACTAAATGGGGACAGTAGTATATTTCATATTGATAAAAATCTGTGCTGAAAGACAGGCTTCCCATAAGTCTCATTGGTTGGAATTGCTTCCCATGTCAATGGCTGAACCAATCACAGTCGAGGAGAATGAAACTCCCATGAACAGACCATTTGTGAATGGATCGCTGCACCAGGGTGGTGTCTGACTTCTCTGAAACACAGGCCATGCTAAGTAGGATGAATCATGAAGGGAAAAAATAGGGTTTTAGGAGAGAAGTAGGCAGTCAACAATATTCGATACACCATTCTGAAGTTATCACAACACACATTTTTTTCTTTTGCAGCATTAATTACTACCAAGTGATTAATCACTGTAAAATAAAAGTGCAATGTTTTATTTCTTTGTCTCCGTTTAATTGTCTATTTCCTCCGTGAAAAAGCAAACTTCAGGAGTGCAGGAACCTTGTCCATCCTGTTCTTAATTGAAGCTCCAGCATTTTGCAGAAGGCTCAGTATATAACAGGAGCTCAATACATGTTTGTTAACAGAATGAATGGGTGGATGGATAGATGGATGGATGAACACTGGGATAAATTACTCTGAGATACATCAACCAGAATAATACAGTATATATATATAAAAAAAAAGAGCCAGAAAGGGAAGGCTTTAAAGTGGTGTTAAATAATGTCACAGGGTTACAGGGACATATGGATGACAAAAAGACCACTGAATTGAACATTCAGAAGTTATTTTACGTTTAGAGAGCAGTTTCAGTAAGACCATTTGTGAATAGAAACCAGAACATAAAAGCATTAAGGACAAAATGGGTAATAAAGATGTGATTACAGTAAGATTACCTTTGTCTTTGTCTTTTTTTTTTTTTTAAGTAGAAGCAGGAAAGGTGATGTCTGTGAGGAGAGCAGACACTCAAGGAAAGAGTTGGTTGGCTTCTTTGTTTTAGAATGGCAAGTGTCAGCATTTGTTGCCAAAAAATGTAGCAGTCAATGAAGAATACATTGAAGGAATGGGGGGGGAGGGAATTGAATCAAATGTAAACTATTGAGAAGTTGAACTTATGGAAGCACCTACTGTCCCCGGAGACCAGAGTAATGGGAGAATGTGGAAGTCAGAGACAAACAGAGCAAGATCAAGGTGCTGTCCCCTCAACTTAACCCAAATGACCTCCTCTCCAATTACTCCACAGCAAGTTGTCAATAAATATTTGCTGAATGAATGGAAGGAACAAACCCATGAATAGATGCAATGATACAAATGTGTTATTTCCATGTCTTCTCACCATGTACGTGACCCTTCCTGTTTTCTTACTCTAAATCACTGAAGAGATAAGAAGTAACGGACTCTACCAATCAGTGAATGCCTCCAGTAGACATTTTCTAACAACAGACTGAACAGAAAGGGAGAGCAGCAAAAATAAGGTAAATATGCTTATCTATTCTACCGTTACTGAAATCCTGAGTGATGGAATTACCCATATGCTAGTTATTCATTTTACTGAAAGCTTCAGTAAGTAAAGGGAAATGATTTATGTGAAAGGAGAGAATGTTCAATCAATAACCAGCAAATCTGTATGTATCAATATTTGTCTAACTCCAGAAGAAAAACAAGATTAAGAAATAAAAAGCTTAATTTTCCACTGTTTAAAATAACTGCTCAACCTGAAAATTAAAGCCCAGATATGATTTTCTAATCTGTTGAGCATTCTCTTTGTAAAACTGTCCTACTTTTCATGGTCTTCATGTTCTAAATATATACGCCAAACTTTATAAAACACTATTCAAAATCCACTAGAAGTTGTTTTAAACTAAATCATATCTACCCTGATTTCACAACACTCCCCTCAGTATCTAAGTACCTCAGGACTTGGAAATAAGTTAAAAGATCGCAGAAACTGATCCAACACTTTTGTATCATTTGACAGACGTTACTGAAAATATAACACGAGTGTACACCCGATTTCGCTTCTACTTGCTAATTACTAGAATCTTATTATAGCATTGCTTATTTAATTGTAGGTTTCAACATGAGGCCTTTGCCCAAAGGGAAAAAAAATTTTTTAAACACCAAGGGATAAAAATGTTTCGTGGTTTCTTCATTGCTTGTATACAAGCTTGATAACTAGATCAACTTACATTATTTCTTTCAATAATTTAATTACCATCTACCGTACACAAAACAGCTCAGTGACACAGTCACGTGTACCTATGCTGGATGAAACTATGGAAGAGTAAGAGGCTGACCACTGTCAGGAGGCGGGTAGGACTCGAAAGGGTCAAATTATAGCCGCAACCATTAGTATGTATTTCTTAACGTGATTTCCACACGCAATTGCTGTGTAAGTGAACTTGTGCAGCAAAGACATAAAAGGAGAAAAAAAACACAAATTAAACCAAGTCAAGGAAATCAGAATGGGAGTTAACATTAGCTAATTGGATAATTGATAAAACAGATTTTGAAAGATACTCTGGAAGAAATGACAGGCTATATCAACCACTAATCCAGCAAGAAAAAAAATTGGAAAATAAAAATGATGGGGAAGATGATGGTCTCCAACTAGCTGAATAATTTATTTTGCATTTTTAGAGGACGGGGTGAAGGGGTCTAGCTCAGTGGTAGAGCACATGCTTAGCATGCATGAGGTCCTGGGTTCAGTCCCCAGTACTGCCATTAAAAAAAAAAAAAAGACCTAGAATGAAGTGGTCCCTTGGAGTGGACGCCTATCTTCCTCATCATCCCCACCTCTGTTGAGGAGTTTCTGGTACCACTGAGCCTAAGTATCAAAAGTAGGTATGACCATTAAGTCACAACACTGTTTTCAGCTACCATGCCAGAAATTTCATATTCTAATAAGGATTATTACCCATTAAGCACTTCTCTTAGAGGCTCTGCATTCATTTCACTCATTTTTATTGCTCATTTTATTTGGAACTATATGTTTTATTTGGGATGCCTCACATATTTGTATGTGTGTCGAGCATCTTTACATTTTATTATGTGTGTATTTTTAGGTGAACATTTAAGCCAGTTTCATGATTTTGTATGTCTGCTTTGTTTGTTACACATTGTAGTGTTCTCCGGACACTCTTTGCAATATCATATACCTTCAGTTTAAAAAATGGCAGTGGCACTGGTTACGTTTTCTCGATCAGAAGTTCCCAAGGGCTCTAGCATCTTCTCCATGAAATGCTGGTGCCAACTACAGCAGACACACTGTTGCCCCCTATGAGGCTCAGTGTCATGAGAGTTTTGACCGGACGGAGCCACCACACCACCATCCTCCTGAAACACATTCACCACCATGTCACCATTTTTCATGCCTGTGTTATTTTTTCAGGATTTTCATGGATGTGTATATTTTGGTTCAGAAACCCTGTAAAATGATCTAGTACCACCAGCAAATAATCAGCAGTGGCTAATAGGGTTTTCAAGTACCTCCTGATGTTGTTCTTCCTTCATCTTTTGCAATTTTCGATTTTCCCCTTCCTTTAGGGAATTCATACAAGCCCAGCTTCTGGCCTATAATGGTACAGGAAAAAAAAAAATCATGGGAAAAAGCATCACCACGATATACTGGTCTGCCCACCATGGGTCTGGTTCTAACCACTCAACCTCTGTACTAAGCAGACAGTAAGCTCTCCACATACACTTGCTTACTGAGTGATTTATGCATGTGTCTGAAGATGCCCCTTGGGATGTATAAAAAGAAGGCACATCTAAGCACAATCATCCAGCACGTTTTAGAGGATGATGTAAATGTTTGTTTAGTTAAGCTTTAAAAATATCCCCTCAGAGATAATCAACACAGTTTATTCTTTCTAGTGAGAAGGATTGGAAATAGAGGAAAGTTAAATATGTTTTTCAAGAATATTCCAACTAGCTGATGAATATCAGAGGCAAGCAATGGTGACACTGACTACAGAGCACTGACATGTCTAGTGCTCGTTAACGCTGTCCTATTAAATCGCTTGTCAGCTGGTGATGGGTAACATGTAATTCCAGAGATGCGTTCCTTTCCAAGTCTTCACGCCCCTAATCTATACCTGAAGTTCATTTCTGGTCCTAAGAGGCAAAGCGAAGGCTGTTTGAGAGCACAGCAGTCATCATTTCTGGCTGAATTAGGACCTCAAGGGGGAACCTCCGAAGAGCCAGCACACACGGTATGATGTCCCACTATTGTCCCACCCACCCTCCATGCCAGGGTTCCACCACGTCTGCTAGAACTTAAGAGATTTCAAGCAGTCAGTCTGTTCATTTCTCACACACCTTCTCTCCCTCACATGGATTTGCAGCTCACCCTCTTTTAGGCAGAGAGGCCGGCCTGATAAGCTAACGCGTAGAAAATTCCATTGTTCTCATAAAACTACCAGCAGCAGCATAGCAGCAGGCGACATATTTCAGGCCCGGTTCCTTGGACTAATAATCCATAAAGCTTACGTCGCCCGGTCCCCCCCTCTTCCCTTACTGTAATTTTTCTCAAGCACTTCTTAATTCATTCCCCCATTTCTGTCACTATAAAACCCATATTCCATCAAATAAGAAGAAGCGCTTGCCAGAAAGGAAGAGCGGCTTTGGGAACTGTATCACCTGGGGCACTTCCAGATGTGCTCAGAAAGGCCACCTAGATCCACACCCGGCTAATCAGACAGGCAAACATATGCTAGGACTTTATCCTGAACACGAGGGGACTATGATACTATAGAAAAGGTGGTGAATCATTCTCCAGAGACTCCTTTTTACATTAGAGAAGGCTAGTTTTCATCACAAATATTCCATATCAGAACTGAAAGAGGGGGAGGGGGCCAGGGGACACATCTTCTATTCAAGGGACTAAAAGGAGCAGTAAGATATTTAGTTAAAGTCGATATGATGCCTTGAGTGAGGAACATATTTGTCTATCTTCTTTTTAAACTTAACCACTTTGTTGTTCTTTTATCAGAATATGGGTCCTAGTTATTGACATAGAAAACAAACAAAAAAAACGGTTAGACCCATGAAGTGTCAATGAAAAGGCCACAGAAATTGGGAAGTCACTTGGCTTCTCAGCTACAAAGAGCTCAAGGCTAGTGTTTCAACTACAGGTTCAATATTATTATAGACATTAACAGCTCAATTTGTAATGATGCTGTACACCAGAAATTGACACATTGCAATTGACTGTTCTTCAATTTTAAAAAAGAAGAAAACAAAACAAAGAATTCAATGTTACTTGCAGTCCTAATGCTTACTTACCCAGCTGTGATCCCTAGGCAGAACAGGAAGTTTCTGTTCAAAAATATTGGAGGCGGGGGACGGATTTCTGATTACTATTTTTCTTAGTTCTAAGTTCCAGAAATTTCTGTCATTGAATTTACATAATTTTTCTATCATTAAATATTGATTTAATATATTAAAACTAAACTTTTAAATTTTATTTTTTATTAAAGTGTAGTGGATTTAAAAACTAAATTTTTGTTATTCCATTAAAATACACACTTTTACTCATCCCCCCTCACAAGCTACGCTTATAATATATTCACCCAATAAGCAATATTTCAGCCTCCTATGCAAAGACACCATGGTAAGACACGACCCCAGACCTCAAAGGCTTATGGCCTCATGTGGAAGGAAAACAAGAAGATTAATGATTGCAGTACAGCACGAGAGGTATTGTGGCAGAGGAAGCTAAAAAGAATGACATTTAGTTAAATCGGATCAAGCACACCTTCTCAAAGCAGATGGCGCTAAGTTGTGTCTTAAAGAGTAGGAATCAGACTAAGCAGGCGGCAGGGCGTTGTGTGAATGAATGAAAAATGGCATTGGAGTAGTTTGCTGGGGCTACAAAATCCTCCGGGCTGGGTGGCATAAACAACAGAAATTGATTGCCTTCCATGGAAGCCAGAAGTCCAAAATCAAGGTGTCTGTAAGGCTGGTTCCATCTGAGGGCTTTGAGGGAAGGGTCTGAGCCTCTCTCCTTGGCTTGTAGATGACCGTCTGCTCTATGTGTCTCCCCACATCATCGTGCCTCTATACACGTCTGCTCCTGTGTCCAGATTGCCCCCTTTCATAAGGACACTTGTCCTCCTGGGTTAGAACCCACACTAATGATCTCATCTTCTCTTGATGAGCTCGGTAAAGACCCAATCTCCAAATAAGGTCACATTTTGATGGACTAGGGGGTTAGGACTTCAACATATAAATTTTGGGGGGGACACAATTCAACTCGTGACAAGCACCAAGTCCCCATTTCAAGATGGTGGCGTGAATATGTTTCCGCTCCATTCTCCTCTCAAAAATTACCCTAACCAGAGGAGGAAATAAAACAAACACAAACTCTATCTTCAGAAGCCGAGAGATGTCTATAGTCCCAGACAGAAATCTATGAAGACAAAGTAGATGAAGAAATGGGAAGTGTCTAGGATGAGAAAAGAATAACCTAAAGACTTGCCAGCGAGGGATAAAAGACCCACAAAAAGCCAGCCTTCCTCTCAGAGCAACGTGAGGACCCCAGAAATGGATGCACCAGCAACTGGGGAAGATGGATGAAAGGAAGGCAGCTATGCCTGCTCCTGCCCAGAAAATTCAGGTTCTAATCCTCCCAGCCCTGACAGGAAATCAAAAGTGGATTCTCCAGATGAACTAAACCAGGCAGGTCTATGACAGAAGGCAGCCGCCGTCAAATCCCAGGCTGAGAATGAACGGTGAGCCTCTAGGCCCTTGTTTGAAGTTTTCTTCTGCTCCCTGCACGGCTTCCTCTGAGAAGTAGAGGGCGATATTTTGTCCATGAAACAAGAAGAGGTTGCTATTTTTCCCAAGCAACAGAGAAAAATGGAGCTCTTGGAAATTAAAAGTATTTCCCCTTCCCCTACAAAAAAGACAAATCAGAAAAATATTTGGAAGATAAAGTCAAGAAAATGTGTGGGATAACAGGAAAAAAATTATGTGTATTTTATATATTTTTGTATTTTATATATATTTTGTATATATTATATATAGTTTATAGCATATTACTTTTATGTTATATATATTATACATAATAGATATTCCCACATTTTTGGTACAGAGTTCCCAAAATCTTTGTTATTTCCTAAATGGTTTAGAGCATCTCTTGTTCAAATATTTGGGCTTTGACCCATCCCTGACACAGGGCTCCTAAAACCATTATAATTTCTGAAGTGATTAAAGCATAAGAAGCATCTTGTGTTCTACTTAGGCAACTTCCTGTGGGCTCCTGGATGGGGGCTGGTCATCAGAAAGACCAAGTCATAATAAAAAGTTTGGAATTTTCAGCTTCAAACTTCCACCCTCCAGCGAGGAATAAGGGGGTGGAAATGGCGTTATTAACTCATCATGTGTACATGAGAAAGCTGCCATAAAAATCCCAGAGATACAGGGGTTCAGGGAACTTTCAGGTAGGTGAACATATCCATATACCAGGAAGGTGGCCACAGCCCAGCTCCACAGGGACAGAAGCTCCTGCGCTGGGGACCCTCCCTGACCTCACCCCATGTATCTCTTCCTCTGGTTGTTCATCTGTATCCTTTACCGTATTCTTTCATAAACTGGTGAACGCCAGTATTTCCCTGAGTTCTGTGAGCGGCTCTAGCAAACTCATCAAACCCAGGGTGCAAGACATGGGAACTTTTGATTTGTGGCCAAGTTGGACAGAAGTTGTGGGTAACCAGGGGACCTGCCACTTGTGATCAGCATCTGCAGTGGGGAGCGGTCCTGTGGGACTGAGCCCTTAAACTGTGGGATCTGATGCTGTCTCCAGGCAGAGTGCGTCAGTACTGGATCAAATCCTAAGACTTAGCTGGTGTTGCAGAATTGCTTGGTGGGGCAAACCTCCCCTGGCACCTGGCATCAGAAGAGGTGTGTGTGGTAGTGGCAGAGGGGTAAAGGAAACACTCCAGAGGGAAAGGACTGGGGTTTTTTCCTAACTCAATACGTCAGGAAGTAGGGGCAAAGATACATTAGAGGAGAAAAACATTTTTGCAAAAAATTAGAAGATAAGTCAAGGAGGC